TAACATTGATATCATTTTCTGTTCAATAGCATTTCTAGCATTACTGTTATATTTTATTATTATAGTAGTAATAAATCACCTTAGGTGGAACCCTATAATCCATCGTGTGGATGCTTGTAGAAGCATCGACCATTAGCAGGTGATATTTAGGGTCCCCAAAATTGTCTCCATGAGTCTTTTCTAATATGTAAAGTGGTTCTGGTTCATCAATGGTTTCAGAAGAACCATTTGGTAATTTTCTGTCAGTACCTAAACTTACTTTAAAAGTAGATAGTACAGAATTAGGATCTTTCTCACATTTATCCACTAAACTTTGCAATGCAAATACTCCTTCTTGGCAATTCTTTTTCCACTTATCTAATTCATTTTCCTCTTCAGGGTCGTATGAAAGTATACTCACTGAATGTTGACTGGGTTTTTTAGTTAAATCTGTTGACTTAATTTCGATGGAAGGATTTTTAACATCTCCTCTGTTTATTTGTGTTCCAATTTTGCCGTTATTAATTGAACCATAGGTGTGTACATCACTTGAAACGTAAACTGATTTATGAACACTTATTTCACTTTTTACTCCTTTCGGACTTATAATCGTATTGGGTGTAGAACGTGGTTTTCCTTCATGTTGGTTTCCTTTTCGCAGATTAGATAAGTTTTTAGTATCTATGTTATTTGAAAATTTACTTTCAGAGTGCCACTGTTCTGAATTAGAATGTATTGGTGTAGTGACAGTAGTTCGTATTTCAGCATTTTTACACGACTCTTCTTTTCCATCATTTTCTGGCTTAGTCCCTGAAGAACTTTCTTTTTGAGAAATTCCAGCAGATATTATTTCTGATAGCTTATGATTTAAAGCAGATTCGATAGCCAATTTTGCAGCTTGTTCTAATGTTTTTCTATCCACAGTTATACTAATAGTGGGACATATTTTACCATCACGACAATTCAGTGTACATTTATATTCATTTTCAGTTTTATCCGAGGGAAATATAGTTTCTAACGGCCTATTTGGGTTTTTACCTGGACTTTTTGAATTAATTCTAATAGAAACTGGTTCACTTTTTTCTGATGCTTTTTTAATAATTGCTGTATTAGTTTCGGTGAAAGTTTTGGCAGTCACAGTCTGTACCAGTGACTCTTTTTGATTTACATTTGTTGGTTTAATTTCATGTTTCTGAACTTCATTCCCAGGCCTGAGACTGTTTAAACAGTTTTTGTAACAATATTTTGCAGCTTTTTCTTCTATATTCTTCTTACACAATCTTTCACAAATTTCTTTACTTTGTACTAAACTACTCTTATTTTCTATCATGGCAGTGTGTTAAATAATAGTTGTGTGGTAGTTAATCTACATAGTGACATAAATTGACTGAAGTTTTGAACTGAGCTCTGTCGTTAGGCTGACACTGACAAGCTATTTTTTTTCTTATAAAAATTTGCTGTTACTTGATTATATTGAATCAGTTCGAAAACCATACAAGTCCAAAATTGGACATACAATATACTTAACCGTTAACAGTATTTAGCAGGTCGTTACTGACCAATGAGGTGGAGAATCGTATATGTCCGTATATCTCAAAATGAAGTTTTTGGACATGTATGGTTTTCGAACTCACCGATTCATTTATTTTCAAAAATAAAATGTAATTTATTATTTCTAGGACACATTTAATTAATTTAAAAACCACATTTATAATGATTATAGTGTCCATTTTAACACAATCAGAATTAGACAAACGGACATGTTTCAAATAACATATTGTCAGAAATCCAAAAGCAATGAAAAGAAGCAAAATTTTTCATTTTGAGGCCGCCTAAAGAAGATATTTGAAAGTATCACATTCACACAATCTGTTGTTTGACATATCCAGGAGTCACTTTTTAATTATAGTAAAGCTCGGTTATAATGTACTGGCGGGGACTTAAAAAATCGGTGCGTTATATCAGAAGTACTTACGTTTTAAAAAAATTATTTAGTTTTATTAATTCTTAACAAAAATACAAACACAAATGTTTAACAAAAGCAGCAATAGATTAACAGTATATATGGATTTTATTATTAAAACTTAAAAGCAAAACTAAAAATACACTTTATTTGCACCACAAAATAGGTATAATAATAATATAATATAATATATATAATAATAAAATATCTAAAACTAAAACTATTTTCCAAAAAAGTCTGTTATGAGTTTGTTTTTTGCGATTTATAAGGATCTGTTGCTCTAAATACATTTCTATTTCCAGCCATGCGCTTACAATACGATCTTCAGTATTAATTTTTCTTTCTAAAAATCGTTATGCATTTTTTATTCCGTCATTAAACATTGCAGGCGTTTCTTCTTCCAGTTCTTCTTCATCTTGTCCACTATCAACCTGCTCATTTTCGTTAATCTGCTCTGTAGGCAAAATTGTTGTAACAAGCTCTTTATCCACGTCAATGAAAGCATCAATCACAGTTGGATTTAATTTTTTTAAGTTAAAACACACACACACACTTAAAGGTGAGTTTCGTCGAACTCGCAAAGAGAGGGCCATGCATGTTTTAAACAATTCTCAATTGTTTTTTCGGCAACCTGTTGCCGCGCTTTCACAACCATTTCAATAGCATCAAGCAAATTTATTGTTATTGATGTGCTATTTTCGATGCACTTAAGATTACTGGTCATAAGCAGTTGTCGATAATGAACTTTCAAACTGTGGATAACACTGATCCATTGGTAGCAGGACAGATGTAAAATTTGGTGGGAAAAATGCCAGTTCAATATTGGTCAAATTGGAAACGTGAGGATGAGCAGTACAACATTTATCAACAAGCAATAATATCCGCCTGTTTTCTTTTACCAATTGTTTGTCCCAAGATCTTAGTTCACTTTTTAAAATATTTGCGGTCATCCATGCGAGCTTGTTTGCCATATAATTAACCAGCAATTTTTAAAACACCTGGGCCTATTAAATTTACCAATAACTAAGAATTTACGTTTTTCTGTCCCAATCATATAATACAAGAACCATTATTCTTTCCTTAGAAAGTTTTCCTCCAACACATTTTTGACCTTTAAAGCTCATTGTACGATTTGGAGCAAGTTTATAAAAAAAGGTCAAGTTCATCGGCATTAAAAACATCACTCTTGCCGTAGTTCATAAGTAGTAGAACAATGTTGATTTAACCCAATCCAACGCATTTTCCATGTTCACACATGCAACTTCCCCATGGATTTTACTGGAACTTATATTGTGCAGATTTTTGAACCTATGTAACCAACCCGAACCACAAGAGAATCCATCAGCATTAAGTAACTTTGCAAACTCTTGAGCCTTTGCCTGAAGAATGGGCCCACTTATTGTAGTATTCAAGCTTCTTTGATATATAAACCACTGAAGTAATGCCTCATCGATGTTTTTTTTTGGACGGGTTTGCAAATTCTTTTACTTTGTTTAGAAATTCCGCGGGAATTCAATATTTATGTTTGTTTTTCAATATCGTGGACACTGTTGTTTTTTTCATACATCTAGATTTGCAGATGTCAACTTGTTTAACACCTCCTTCTATTTCTTGAATTATAGAAATTTTTTCATCTATTGTTAAGGCCTTCCGAGCCATTTTATTAGGACCAGCTTGGGTTGAATCATCCATACTTAACAGTATGCAAAAATTCGCTTACGCTTAGATACACACTGTACGATGTCAACAAAGAAATTGAATAAAGAATGGTTAAAATAACCTTAGACAACTGCATTTTATCAACATGTGTTGGGAGAAAAAATCTTAAGTAGATACATAAACAATACCGGGCAGCTAGTCGGCGAAAACATATATATCGGCCTGGTCAAAGCGGCCGCCTTTGATTTAGATGTCGCCGCCGTGCTACACGTGCCCTGTGCTTTTGCCGTTCTTGCCGAAATAAATCTATGTATAAAAAGTAAGTTATAATGAAATTTAGACGCTGGGACCAGGTATTTTGGTACTTTATATCAGAACAACGTAATAACGGAGTACGTTTTAACAAAATAATGAACCATTAAAGGCCCTATAACAATGCCAGGACTTGTTTATTTGATACGTTATAACCATAAGTACGTAATAAGTGTGTATGTTGTAACCGAGCTTTACTGTAACAACATTGTGGGAAGCAACTACTCTGCGAGCTACATGCTTAGTCCAACATTGGATTACACTCCCAATATCTACTAAACAACTCAGATCATTACTGCATGTATACCTACTGGCAAAGAGTCACCTGCTAATCTGTAGGTACTATGAAAACATGGCTTATTTCACACTGAGCTTTGAGCAGCAATGGCACTTAAGATATGAAAGCCATATGTCACTGCATGCTGTTAGAAGCGACCATATTTTTTCTATTATTCCTTTTGCTTTATACACCAACTTTTCTTGTAGCTAAATCCTTTGTCATTCCTCTCACATTATGCATGCTGATACCAGTCACAGTCTGATGATGCTGATCTCAGCTGTTTATATTGGGGGTGTAATTCAATGTTGGTGGTAGAGCTCACAGAGTAGTTGTTTCCCACATCATCAGATAAAAAGTTTATATCACCTAGTATGAAGAAAATCATGCATTTATAATATCGACAGATCAGCAGATTATTCTTTGCCAGTAGGTACAAAGTAATGCTTTGCAATAATAGGCATTATGACTTGAACTGGATGTAATATGGATGAAGTTGATTTTCACATAAACTGGTTCAGACTTTAGTGTGACAAGCTTTGAGTTGACTTGACCATCTAAAACATCTGCATTGTTGTTGACGATGTTATGGCAGCATTTTCAGGAGAACTCTCACAGAATGTCTCATAAAATGAATACCTGCCATGCTACAGTTTGCTGCATGAAGATAGGTATCTCTTTGACCAGGCATGTCTCGCGAGAATAATCGATTTTAAATTTTGAATTTAGTAGGTACCTAACATATAAAATGCGATACCATAATAATTAGTAATAATGTGCAAATTAAATAAAAAAATATTGTAACTTCAATATTTTATTGAATGTTAAAAAATTAATAGCACATATTCTTTTAACAGTTACAAAGGATGTTTAAGTTTTCGTTTACCCAAAATATTGTGATTAGGAGATAAACTGCTGCTATTATTTTCTCTATCAGATCTGCAAGAAAATTAGAAATCATGAAGCATAATGCACTGTATTTTTGCAGGGTGTTACTAAGAAATAGATCGAGCCATTAACAATAGATTCTTTGAAAATTTCTCAAGTGGTTTTTCATTTAAACGTCCGATTTCAAGAAACAGGACGTCAGTTACAATTAAAATATATACAGGGTGTCTCACGGTGACGGCTCATTAGAATTATTTCAGACTACTTCGATTTGAATTTTGAAAATTTGGGATACCGGGTTTTCGGGCATGCCCTTCTTAACTAATATAATGGCGTCCACGTACCACTTTCGGTTATACCGAAAGTCGCCATCAACTTGCTTATTTTAAATGGAACACCCTATATATTATTGCAATTTTGGATTCTACGTGTTATTTTAGGTGGACTTTTATGAAGTTTCCCCATTACTAAAATTAACCGTTTTCGAGATATTTAATTTTTTTCAAAAAAATGGTGAGAAACAATGACTATCTTCAAACCATGTGTATTTTATAGTAAGAAAGATAAAGCAACAATATTTATAGAGGGAATAGCTAGACCCCTAAGCTTCCCATCCATACTTTCAAAGTGGCTTAATTGCATACAGGGTGCTAGAAATTTAATGCTGTGTTTAGTTAACTTCAAACCTTCATAAGTCGGTTTTTTTACGTGGAACACCCTGTATGTTGTTCTATATTCTGATACACAATTTTATTCTCTTCCGAACGGTATCAGGGTTCCCTATACCTAATTCTCTTCTAGTTTTTAAGTTATCTACTATTTTTTGTGTAAACTGTCACCAGTTATTTATTATTATTTATTCACAGACGTTGCAATGGGATTCTAAGCAGAGCATTTACAGTTTTTAATGAGACATATCCTAATTTTCCACCAATGAGCAGAATAAAGAAGAATTCTAAAAAATCGACTTCATACATAGTACACAATTTTAATTATGTATGTTGATAATAATAATGCAATAAGATAAAAAAATGACAAAAAAGTCATAAGTGTTCAATATGACCCCCATTAGCAGCTAAGCACTTGTGAATTCTAGAGATAACACCATCAGTCACCACTTTTGCTATTTCAGCTGAAGGCAATTCATGGAACGCTCTTCGTATTTGAGTAATAAAATCCTCTTTTGAAGCAACGGGTGTAGAATAAACATTTTGCTTTATTACTCCCCAAACATAAAAATCTAATGGAGTGAGGTCGGGAGACCTGACTGGCCAATTCCACGGTCCTAGGCGTTTCATCCATCTATCTTCAAACATTTCAGTCAGCTGTTGATCGATTTGATTGTGACAGTGAGGTGGAGCCCCGTATAATTGATACCAACACTTCCTTAGTTGGTCTAAAGGTATATCATCTAGAAAATCTGCCACAACCGTTTGCAAAATATTGATATATCTGTCGGCATTTAAATTTTGTTCGTAGATATAGTAAGAAATTTGGTTATCTTTAATTAGACAAAAAACATTTACACTAAATTTATTTTGAAAGTTTCTTTCCCGGATAACATGAGGATTTTCAGATGACCACAAATGAATATTATGTCTGTTAAAAATACCTTCTCTCGTAAATTTTGACTCATCTGTCCATATAATATGTTGCAAAAATTGTGAATCTTCTTGGTATCGGACTAACATCGTTTCACAATCTATTACATTATCTTCATTTGAAGTTATTGGTTTTGGTAAATTTTTTTCTGCACAAATTCGACCATACTCTAGTTGATTTGCTAAAATTCTTCTTAACTTTTTTCTGCTCATTGGTGGCAAATTTGGATGTCTAATTAAAAACTGTACATGTTCTGCTTATAATTCCATTGCAACGTCCGTGAATGAATAACAAATTTAAAATATCAGCATTTGAATATGTATTTTTTTTTTAATTTCCTATAAACACTAAATTAAACTGTCACTGCAAGAGACTAACAACAAATTGACAGTTTAGTTGTTTGTTTTGAAGTTTTGCTAAAAATTCCACAGCTATCCTCGCAAGAAATTACATGATTTTAGGTGATTACACAAAAAATAGTAGATAATTTAAAAACTAGAAGAGATAGGTATAAGAGTTATAATTGTGTATCAGAATATAGAAAAACATACAGGGTGTTCCATTTAAAAAAACCGACTTATGAAGGTTTGAAGTTAACTAAACTCGGCATTAAATTTCTAGCACCCTGTATGCAATTAACCCACTTTGAAAGTATGGATGGAAAGCTTAAGGGTCTAGTTATCCCCCCTATAAATATTGTTGCTGGATCTTTCTTACTATAAATACACATGGTTTGAAGCTAGTCACTGTTTCTCTCCATTTTTTTGAAAAAAATTAAATATCTTGAAAACGGTTAATTTTAGGAATAGGGAAACTTCATAAAAGCCCACCTAAAATAACACGTAGAATCCAAAATTGCAATAATATATAGGGTGTTCCATTTAAAATAAGCAAGTTGATGGCGACTTCTGGTATAACCGGAAATGGTACGTGGACGCCATTATTTTAGTTAAGAAGGTCATGCCCGAAAGCCCGGTATCCCAAATTTTCAAAATTCAAATCGAAGTAGTCTCTGAAGTAATTCTAATGGGCCGTGATCGTGAGACACCCTGTATAAATAATTTAAAGTAAAATTTTTTGTCGTTTTTCAATACCATTTTTTAAATGTTCACTAAATCAACAACTATTAATATTTTTTAATTTCCCCATGATGTTCTCTAATTTTCTGTTAATATGAAACCCAATTTCCACTGTATAGATTTGTTTATGTAATAATTTTGGAATTTTAATTACAATTTTAACATCATTTCTATAGAAGTTTTTAACTGAATTTATTTTTAGATTAGATGATCAAAAAGAACTTACCTAAATGTTGACATCTGAGAAAGTTCCTCATCTGTACAAACACAAGCCCTAACAATTTCTCCAGATTCACTTAAATCCTTGCTTATGACATCATTTTCTTTTATAATATCCTTTGAAAACGATTGATAGTTTGTTAGAGGCACATCCAGATTTGGTATATGTGATGACGTTTCTGTTTTGTTGCTATCAGAAACATTTGGGAGATTATTTACTTCCTTCAGCAGAGTGCTTTGTAATTCACAATGACTATGCTCAAAATGAAAGTCCTTTCTCTTAAAATTACTGTGTTTTACATTGTCTGTTTCAGGAATAAGGTTTTCTTCCTTGCGGAACTGACCGATTAATTCATACTTATCACTGAGTAACAAGGCATCAGGATTTGTGAATGTATTATTTATTGCCTCGTTCAAATCAATATTAGAAATACTGGTCGTAGCATCTACCAGTAGGTGATGGTATTTGTTAGATGTATCGCTGTCGCGTTGTGGCATTAAGTCATAATCGGAGTTTAACAGCTTTGAAAAATCGTCTTGGGTATAGGGAGGTATATACTCTAATCTTGGTTGTATCTGAAGTGTGGGAATTCTATCATAATTTATGGGACTAACTTCTTCATCGTGTAATGGTTGGTCGATTTCTTTACCAACATTTTTTCCAACGTTATCCTGATCATATATGATTAATTTATCTGAGGAATCTAGAATTGTTTTCAAAACATAAACTGGACCATTAAGTAAAACATAATCGTTTCTGTGGTAATCATTCAATATTAAACTCGTATTACATTCTTTATCTGATTGCGCTATTTCCATCTGGGTACTCTGGTCATTAGTAACTTTACATGAATTTTCAGCAAATGCCGCTTGTACATTATCCCATCTCAATGTTATTTCTTTGATGTTATTAACATTTTCTTTCATATCGTTTGTATTGTTTACACGATTTTCCCTACATTTTAATAAAGAAGAAGAATCTTCATCACAATGTTCTGCATTTCCAACAGGGGGCCAATTTAAACATTCATTGATTACTTTTGAACTTGCCTCTTTATTATTTTGAATAGTGTCTAATATATCATTTGCGGTACAGCTCGTTTCGTTTTCATTGCATTTCTGTGATGAAATTGTTTCTGATGTATTTTCCACTTTGTCGCAATTTAAACATACCTGTCCACAATTTTCTATGTTTTTGCAGGAGGTTGTGCTGAAATTTTCCACTAATCTATCAACATGGCTGTTCAAAATAATGTCTGGTTTTTCTTTAACCTGATCTATCGTACGAGTTATTAAATTCTCTATTGAAACATTAGCAGGAATATATACTGCAGATTGTTTATCATTTTCATTTGTACTTATATCATTTTCAGTACTCAAATTTACAGTTGCATTAATATTATTGTCCCCTATTGGACTTATCGAAGTACTATTTAATTTTTCAAACAAAATTTCCTCTTCCTTACAACCCAACTTTTCTTTTTCAGTGAGATTATCTAAAAGCAAATAAGCAAATTCATATACAAAATGAAATGAAAGAGGTGAGGAAACTTCAATAATTTGTGTTCAGTTCGAGGAATATCTACAATGTAAGAGTACTGAGATGCTCTGTGGATTTTGTTTTCGACAAAGTTGGTAACACTGCATTCAAGGCCAATGTGTTGGAGCAGAACACGCCCTAATTTGTCTCAGTCAGTTGAGAACTGTTGTTGTAGTGACATGTTGAAGAGTGCTGTTATTCCGAAAAATTGAGTACCCTTATTTTGTGGATATGCCTTGTAATTTAATTATAATTTCATTTCATCAATTTTAATATTAGCAATGATATTAATCTGGAATTATATTTTATTAAAACTTTATTTAAGTATTATTTGGCAACCACATATCTACTTATTCTGGAAAACTGATTATTTCATGACAATATTTATCTTTAAAGTAGGTTATTAAAATTTTCTCCCATGGTAAAAAAACATTATAAGTTTCTTAGCAATTTTAAGTTATTACATACCATTAGATACAATTTTTTCTTCTGTATCAAGATGTATTTCACTGTGATGTAATATCTCTTCTGAACATTTGTTACTAATCTCCATAAAATAGGATAGAATATTGCGTGAATCATAAACACTTGTGTTCGAAAGTTGTTTCATAGATCCAATAATTGCATCCAGTGAATGACTAGGCTCTGAACATTCTGTTACTCGGTCCAAACTACACTTACTTGCTATAATTTTGCATATTTTTTTTAGATAAAATTCACTGTTTTCTTCTTTTTGTTCATTCTCACAAATTATTTTGTTGTCTTTTAGTTCAATATCTAATACACGTTTTGTAGTACATTCACAATCTTCTGTTCTTTCGTTTTGATCAGGAGCATATGAATTAAAAAATTGCTCATAACATGCCGAGTCTCTAGAATTATTTTTAATATTTTTGTATGGAATTTCTAGTTCTGTACACAGCCTAGCCAACTGAGCTTCCATTTTCACCTAAAATAATTTTCTAATAATATGTCTACAGGTACAAGAGTAAAATTAAGGAGAGTCAGGTTTCCTAAAAAAACAAATGAAATCAGCTAGTTACCATGCAAATTATTTTCATTAAATTTTTCCAATTTGAATCCTTTATATCCGATTTGCTATTTATAAAAATAAACGACCAAGAAATGGCGCTGTTTTGACCAAACAAGTGATTATAGGGAAAACAAATCATAATTTTTATTTAAGCTTTTGCATAACATTACGATCAAAAATCAAATTGCTGTATCTGTTTAAACCCCGACATGTCAAGTTAAAAATGTGAATACTTGAAATGTATTTATGTTTCACGTTGAAAGGCATAATCAGCTAGATCACATCGGCTTTGAAATACCATTCTGTTGAATTAACCGAATTTGGTTAAGGAATTCTGTAATTAACTTCGTTACTATGACAAACCTGTTGTGTGGCCATTAATTTTATCAGCTATCAGATAAGTTAAACACTTGATGTTTGTAGGCCATCAGGATCCAGATAGCACTGCGAATGACGCCCTCAGATCTAATGAATTGTGCATTTATCATTACTTCTTAATACATATAATCTTTTGTTACCCCATTATAATAATTCATCTCTGTTTAAGCCATGTTTTTTTACACATTTTTTCCTACGTTATTAAACAAAATGATGTAATAATTACTGAGCTACGTGATGAAATAAAGTTATTAACATGTCAGATTGACCTTTTAAATAAATTATCATTAGTTCAGAATAAGGATACCGAGGACCCGCAAAAAATGGATAAGAATGGAAAGATAAAACGACAAAAATCAAATGGCTCAAAAACAGAGACTGGACGTAGCTATGAAACAAAAACTAATAAACAGAAAATTGATAGTTCTGTTGTCAGAAGTAAACAATTATCAGCTGATATTATGATGGTACAAAGTGAATTAAAATGTAAGGAAATAATTAATCTTACAAGAGATACAGAATCTGAAGGCACTATGTTGACCAATCAGCAGATGCCTGGCTCAGATACAAGAACAACCTTAGTCTCTCATGAAGAAAATTTATCTGAAAATGATAATAAATGGAAACCAGTGATTCATCGGAGAGGACGTAACCGTAATGCAACGGTGATAGGGAATAATAAAGAAGCATCCATCAAGGGTGTGCGAAAGTTAGTAGCGTTACATGTGTATAGAATTGATGTTCATACTACAGCCGTGGACCTACAAAATTTACTAAAGAATACTTTTCCTTAAGTGATCTGTGAGTCTATGACATCCAAGTACCCAAATCTATACTCTTCCTTCAAGGTGACTATGTTTGAGGACAACTTCAAGATAGCGATGGATCCTAAGGTTTGGCCTGAGGGAGCGTGTGTGAATAGGTTTTTTTCAGTTTCGAAAGAAAACTGTTCCGGGAAAAATGATGTTTAACCCAGACATCTTATTGTTAAATGTACAAAGTCTTAATCAAGATGCAATTGATTTAATTGAGGTCGATGTCTGTAATTATAGTAATTTAAACTTTCTATGTCTGACCGAAACATATGCAAAAGTTGCTTCTATTCATACTAAGCATATTAGTGGTTTTAAATTGTCTGGTTTCTATTGTAGAAGTGTTTATGACAAGGGCGGCGTTGCTATTTATACTAAAACTAATATTAATGTCTAAACAATTAATCTTGATAAATTCTGTAAGGATAAACATTTAGAAATATGTGCTGTGTCTTGGAAAGTAAACACCATGCACACAATTGTTTTAAATTGTTACAGATCTCCTAGTGGAGACTTAAATTTATTTTTTGAAAATATTTTTAACGTGTTGGATTTTATATTTGTGCCTAATGCTAATATAATTTTAACAGGGGATTTTAATTTGGATTCGTCTGAGACTTGTCGGAATATAAATGTTTTTAGAAATTTGTGTCACATTTTATCTGGTTTCGATTTGGTTCCGATGGTATGGTGGCCAACTCGGGTTACACACTCCAGCTCAAGCATAATTGATCATGTTTTCACAAATATGATACGGAACAGTCTTACAGCTGTAGTTGACAATGATGTATCTGACCATAGAACTGTGCTGTTTCAAATCGATTACGGGCGGGATGAAGAGCCTTTTCAGGCTTCTCACTTTCGGAGAAGCTTTAATAATATCGAAGAGTTTCAATTAGATCTATTGAGAGAGCAGTGGGCTATGGAATACAATACTTCTCATATCGATGGTGTAGTGCACAAATGTGTTAAGTACACTTTTCGAGCAAAATGAGATAGATATAGATAGGTAGTACAGAAATAGGAACTTGTCTCATCAAATATCTGGCGAGTTTACCAGAAACTGTTACACATGTCACATCATTTTCTGATACATGTAGCGGACAAAACCGCAATAAATTCGTCGCAGCAGCGATGCTTTTTGCCGTTAATAAAATAAAACACCTAAAAACTATAGACATGAAGTTCATGGAATCAGGTCACTCATACCTGGAAGCCGATTCCATGCACGCTACTATAGAAAGGGCTAAAAGACATAAAAAAAAGTATATTCTACCCGTGAATGGGGACTTTTGATATCAATGGCTAGAATTAAACCTCGTCCTTATTTTGTCAATGACCTTAAATATACTGATTTTTTCAACTTGCAACAACTAGTGACTGATATTGTTTTCAATACAACCCACAATATTCAAAAAGAAAAAGTTACCTGGCTCAATATAAAGTGGATGCGATATCAGAAGGAAAAACCATTTATTATACAGTATAAATACAACCTCTCTGACGAAGCATTTCATGGAATCGATGTGTCTGACAAACGTAAACCAGAAAAAAAGAAAAGCTGGGAAACAGTAACATTAAATCAAAAGTATGACTCCAAAATACCGGTTTCTCAGAAGAAAAAAAAGATCTTTATTTGTTGTCGAACAAAATCATTCCCGAGGATTATACCAACTTTATTAAGGAAATTCCTGAAGTGAACAATGGAACTCAGCTTGATGCAGCAAAATTAGATGATTAATGCTAATTTTTTACTTTCTTTTTGTATAACTTTTGATTACAGTAACTGTATTTCTTTTAATTTGATAAAATCTGGTTGTTTTCTGCAATAAAATCTAGTTTAAAAGTGAATTGTTAATTATTTTGTTCAGTGAGTAAAGCATTACTGGAGAACCACAAATGTGCTAAGTGCTGTATATTTATAAAAAAAATATTTTTTTTTTCTTATTCAAAAAATTATTTGAGTATGTGCCATGTGACCTGCAATAAATATTAAACCAACAAACCCTACCTAACAAACATAATCACAATTAGGCATTGTGCTATATTACTATAACATTCAGAAGTTTATTTCTTTCCTCCTGAAAAATTTACATTTTTTCACTTAACACATTTGTGCGCTACACAATCGATATGAATATTGCATATGAAGGTTTTCATAATACTTTTTTATATCACTTCAATAAAAGTTTTCCTCGGCGGAAATTTTATAAGAAAAGTCATAAGTGGTGGGTAAATGACGCTGTAAGAACATCCAGTGTTAAACTGAAGGACTTGCATATTTTGAGAGCTTTGTATCCTGAGTTGAACCCCTTTTATAAAATCGCAAGAAAATCACATGCTGAATTAGTTGGTAGAACAAAAAAGGAATTCTATCAAAGTAAAATTGCAAATTCTGATAACCCAACCCGTACCGCTTGGAGAGTAATTTCAGAACTGTCCAATAAGTCTAACATTGTAAAAAATATAAGTATAAAATTGGATAATGGAGAATTGTGTACCCATCCCCTGTCTGTAGCTTCAATTTTCAATAATTATTTTATACATGCTCCCCTTAAGTTGATTGAGAATATTCCATTGGCTAATAATAATTACCCCATTTTCAGCCAAAATCAACTGTACCCTTCTTTTTTTATTCAACCGTATGCGTCTGACGAGTTGTTGATTTTATTAGGAAATAAATTAAAAAATAAAAATTCATCGGGACCGGATAACGTTCCGGTTTTCATCATAAAAAAAGTTCTGACAGCTATTGTAAAACCTCTTTGGTATTTAATTAATTTGTCGTTTTGAGACTGGGTCATTTCCAGACTATCTGAAAATTGGAAAGGTTGTACCTGTTTTTAAAAAACACAATTGTCATAATGTGGAAAATTATAGGTGTGTCCATCCCTTCATGTTTTTCCAAAATATTCAAATATTGTTTTCACGATAGATTAGTAAGATTTCTCAACAAATATGATATTGTTACAGATAAACATGGGTTATGTGCGGGTAAATCAACCACAACCGCTTTACACTCATTGTGTGAAAGGGTTATTGAACTTATGGAGGCAGGCGAGTGCCCTGTTGGTATTTCTGTGATCTCAGCAGGGCATTTGACTGTGTGAATCATGAAAAATTATTATAAAAGCTAGATGGATATGGTATAAGGGGGGTGGCCTATGAATGGATCTCTCAATGGATTTCTCAAAAATCGGACACAATATGTAAGTATTTCTTGTTCCTCAATTGGTACCGTTCAAGGAATAAATTCAGGATACGTGGAAAGTCTGTATGGGTGTGCCACAGGGCTCGATATTGGGACCTGTATTATTTGTGTTGTACACGAGTGAACTTGATAGCTTAATCTCCGCTGCATTCCCAGTTATGTATGCTGACGATACGTCGCTAATTGTATCTGATAAAACTGATGATGCACTGGCACTCAAATGCAACTCGGTCCTAAATAAAGTTAGCAATTGGTGCGGCTCTCACTCATTATATTTTAATCCCTCAAAAACATCTTATATTCGATTTCATAATTATCAGAAAGAATGTTTAAACTAAATGTTCAAGTATACAATTCTCCATTGTCTGATACTGTAACAACCGTAAATTTTCTAGATTTCACATTGGACGAGTGCCTAAATTGGAAAGATCACTACTCCAGCCTAATAGCAATATTAAATTCTCTGTGTTACTTGTTTAGATACTTGAAATCAGTTCTGACGAAGCATCAGCTTA